TATATATAGTTTTTTTTTGGTCTTGCATATGGTTGTCCTTCAGCTTTAGATGATATTATTGCACTTCTCTATAACCTGGTGGTCTTGCTAAAATGATTATTTCTACATCATTCCTACATAGTCCTTCACAAACGAAGAGATTTTCTCAGTCGTATGCCAGCAGATGAAAACAAAAATTAATACAATTTCTTTCTGAGAATAACATCAATAACATCAGCGGAGAGCCTAGATCTACCATTGAAGCTTGCATGCACACATGACCTTGTTATTATCAGCCCTAAAAAAATTCAAATAAAATTTGAGCAGAAATATTTGAGAAAAAACAAAACAAATAACCTGACACACAGAATAACAATACAGCAGACCTTGAGTATCAAAGGGGCTGCATTACAGTGAAAATGACTTTAAATATGCAAATAAGAATTGTCAGATGGTCAGTGCACATTGTGAAGAAAATATATTCATCATATATACATGACAAGACATTAGAGCAAATCAAAGATGTGTCATTATTGCTCACTGATTCGTAGAGTCATGGATCTTGGTATCCAACTAAGTCCTTGACTTGAGTATTGCCTCATTTACTTTGTGCATGTTAAAATCCATTACACATATTCCACCAAATTAAAGAACACAATTATAAAACATTGCAAGATAAACTAAAAGTGAATTTTGAGTAAATGAGCTTGTTATAGAAAGTTCCAAATTTTGGGGGGTTCTTTTGGAAAGAAATGAATATTTTAATTCAGCAAGGCGGCATTAAATTGATCAAAAGTGACTGTAAAGACATTTTTAAAGTTACAAAACATTTATATTTCAAAAAATGCTGTTCTTTTAAACTTTCTATTAATCAAAGGATTCTGAAAAAGGCATCGTAGTTTCCACACAAAAATATTAAGCAGCACAGCTGTTTTTAACATTAATAATAATAATAATAATAAAAGTTTTTGAGCACCGAATCAGCATATTAGAATGATTAGGATTATGTAACTGAAGACTGGAGTAATGATGCTGAAAATTCAGCTTTGCCATCACAGGAATAAATTATATTTTAAAATATATTAAATACAAAAAATAACAATGTTACTGTTTTTACTATACTTCTGATCAATTAAAAAGTAGCCTTGATGAGCATAAGACTTCTTCAACAATATTGTATATCAATTGGGTAATAAATGTAATACAAATAAATTAAGTCATTCTTTTAATATTTGTCACTAAGGTTTTTGATTTTTGTATTCAACATATTATGGTAATAATTGTTTATTTATTTATTTTTGGAATATGCAAAGTGAGAGTATAAAGAAAATATGTAACCCACATAACCAAGTAAAGAAAAGGATTTCATACAGTTTTCTGTTGTCTTTTGACTATGCAACAATCTTTTTTCCAGTAACAGGCATGCAAACTAGTATTGAGCAACCAAATGGATTAAAATAATGAAACCTCTGTGGATTTGGGGAGGGAAATATCATTTCAAAAGCTCATTCAGTTCTGATGCAGTTGAGTTGCATATGTACCAACCAAACACAACCGCATAAGCACAATACACAAAACATCGCATAAAAATATCAGAGTTTTAATGCCAAGCAGCACAAAATTCTGCACTTTAAATCATGATTCAAATCGTGAGAAAAATAAAGACAAAAAAAAAAAGACATTTTATTGTACACAATTCAAGTTCAATCTAAAACAACTCGCTGTTCACATTGAGTGGATTTCAGAATTGAAATAAGGTCCATGATATTGTCGTTGTTTTATGTTCGTAAAAAAGGAGTGATTTGCAGTCAGCAAGCACTGACAATGACATCATTATAGCATGTTGTCCTGTTTCGTCCCCTTGACCATAATCCTCTTGTGGTCTTCGCAGTGCCATCGCTAAAACTTCATCAGTACGTCTCTCCTTTGAAGAGGGTTGTTGACTTAAGCATAATTTAAGTGCATATCTGCATATTATTTTGCATATTTTGTGCTCCAGCTGCCCCTTCAGATCTGTTACCATGGCAACAGGAGGCAGTGTAAGAAATCACTCAGCCCTGTCACTCTCTTAATGATGATAACTTTCTTCCTCCAGGTTTTACGTTAACAAAGGAATGCAAAAGAACTGGTGCATCTTCAGTCCATGCTCGTGTGTGTGTGCATGTACACGGTGCAGATCACATAGATTGTGTGTGTGTGTGTGTGTGTGTGTGTGTTTAACAGAGTGTGTGAGAGAGGGCAGTCGGCTGAAATGATCCTGACTACATGTGAGGATGCGGCGCACTGAGAAAATCACTGAGACACAGAGACAAAAAGAACAACACATTAGACTTCTTAAAAATCTGTTGGAACTAAATGCAACCAATTTCAATACTACTTAATTATTTAATCTCAAACACGGCATTTCCTGACGGCATTTAATAATATTAAATGTTGTAATTTATTTTTTTATTTCAAAATATAAATATGAACAAATTAAAATATAACACTTTATACCTTATTTGACCATAATTAAATTAATAATTATTTTATAAAATTAAACATTATTACTTAAAATCTCAGACTACTTCATATAAATAATTTAGAAGATAACAGCAGTTCAGTTGACAAAATGTTTGACCTGGTGTTCCTAAAGAAATGTACAGGTTTGCCTCCCTGAAAGATCATTAGCAAAAAACCCATCTCAAATAAAAACATATATCTGTGTTCAGTTTCAGCACATATAGACAGTGATTTCAGTCTGAATTACACCTTGGTCAGGGACCTGGAGCAGAATGTAAAAACTACACCACCTGGCACAATCCTAAAAATAGCTTGTATTCTCAACCAACAGAATAAAAAGATGACTGTAGCCAAACTGTTTTGTCAGCACTGAGCAGTGGGAAAAAATACGAACAGCAGCAGTTTGTAAAGTGTACACACCTGAGTATATTTGGTAGCTGTGGGCTCTTGTAGATGAACTTGTGTCTGTAGCCCAGAGAGCTGGGGAACGGGATGAACTGAACCTTATGACTGTTCAGACTCTTGCTCTGAGCCGCCAAATCATATAGCTGTGGATGAAAAGATTATTATTATTATTGTTGTTACAGAGAAGAACAGACCATTTTTAAAACAAATGCATGAACAGATATGACAATATATAATAATAATAACAATAATTGGTTATGATAATAATAATAATTTATTAATAAATAATAAATACATTTATTATTATTATACTTCAAATAGCTATGAGTAGCAGTGTAGTTTTATTGTATAAAGTACAATAAGGTTTGATAATATTAATGAAAGTTTATTTAGATTCTTTCTGAACAAAACAAAAGCAGTTTTACTGTAACTTTTTATTATTCTGTTTGTATATTGTCAGAATATTCCTTTGTTTACCATTGTAACAAGTTAATTTATAAAAAATAAAAAATAAATCATACATGCCATATGTGCTTAAAAACCAAATCTCCCAACACCAGCATCGACTCAATCAGGTTTCATCATAACAAGTGATCATTATTGTGATCTAAGTATAATGAGCCTATCAGCTATTTTACAATAGCTCTGAATATGGCTCATCCAATCTGAATTTAGAGTCTGGAATATCCATTTTATAGTTTTAAATAAACCCTCTCATTGTCTGACACCGATATTTTACCTTCTTTCCCAGCTGGAAAGGTACGACTGTGTCATCTTCTGCGTGCAGTATCAGAACCGGACAGGATATGTGGTTGACACTAAGAGACAAAGAGACACAATTCAGTGGTTTGAGATACTCCAAACTCAAAACAAGTACTGCCTTATAGGGATTCAGGACATAGATCTGTTTTTTTTTTTTTTTTTTTTTATAGTGTGGGACCATCCACTAGAGGTTTGTGTAATGAATTACATGATCACTTCATCTGTGACTCAAGGATCAATCGGTCTATTTATACACATGCACATTAATTCTGTTTCTAAAACAAGTTCTCAGAGGAAGATGAAGCCGCTAGCGTGTGAAAACGCTACAGAACAGAGACCCGAGATGATTATCTCAGCACAGCTGCAAGGACACCGTGCTGTATAAACACGCAACAGTCTTTGTAGGTGGACACAGAGTAAACAATCACTCACACATAAACTTACAGAGAAATATAAGACTAAAAGAACCTACTTTTCATCACTGGCAAATCGGATATCATTTGCAGTTATAGAATCCAGGAAGAACCAGTCAAAGCCTGGCAGGTATCTGTAAACCTGTTCAAATGAACATATATAAATGTTCAAGGTTAGTTATGTTTATTTGTTGCACAAAGGCAGTATGTGAGATTGAACAGGAACTTGGTTTCTCACCATAGAGAAGGGATGGCTCTTGGCTTCCTCTCTGATATTGGTAAAGGGTGACTCTAAAATTAGGGCGTCTGGGGGCGTTCCTGTAAGCACAAAGGAAGGAAGTCTGCATCATTCCTTCATGTTTAAAACAGTGGCTCAACTACAGG